ATTGAGGACGGTTATGGAGATTGGGAATTTCAGAATGAAATCTTGTGGAAAAGAAAATTAGTCTTGTTCGTTTTAAGGTATATGTACTGTTAGACGTTATTAAAGTGTATACTTTCTTGAGATTTGAATGTTGATTATTATAGGACATTGTTTTATTTCTTTAACTGTATTTCCTACTTAAATATGTATTAGTTCGCTAGAGATATTTTTTTTCTATAGTATTATGTCGAATTATAAAATTCTTCATACTACTGAAACATCTATAACACTTAAATACCTAATTAATTTCCAAGTTTTCATAGTTACTACAGAGGTTGTGAAAAAAAATGAATTCAGATAAACATAATCATTTTTTTCTATTTTTAAATACTAACCGAAAATTTAATGTTAACAATTACTATGTACCTACAATATATTATACATATTAGAGATCTCAACTTACTCAAATTAACGTCTCGATCGAAGATAACGATTTAGCAAACAAACATCGAAACCATATAAATTTTCTCAGAAATGACCCCTCCAAATCCTTTCACTCTCTACTTCCAACTAACTTCTCCCTTCAAACCACTATTTTAATCACACCCCTTATCAACAATCTAACCCCAATACCAATAAAACCACCCCAGGAAGTGCAATTCTAGTTTACAACCAAGAATGAAAACATTTTCCCAAAAACGACCCCGCCAAATCCTTTCACTCTCCACCTCCAACCAACTTCCCCCTTGAAACCACTATTCTAATCACACCGCTTATCAAAAAATCAACCCCAATACCAATAAAAACACCCCACGAAGTGCAATTATAATTTACAACCAAGAATGACCAACGATCGCCGGGAAACTTATGGCGGCGCGAGTTCCAAAAGCTCGGGAGGGTTCGCCGGCGTCGTTTTTCCCGGGGAAAGTTTGATACGGCGGTCCGCGGAAATATACGGTCGCGGTACGGTTCGCCGCGAATGGTCTTTAATGGTAGGAGCCCGCGCAGAAATTAAATAAGGCGCAACCACAGGAAACGTAAACAGCGGCGTGCCTAAAAATTCTTTTCTCTCGCAGGATATATCGCGGGATCTCAGCCACCGTAAGCAGCAGCGGTGGTGGTGTTCACCCCGCGTGAAACGCGGAAACCAGAAAATTACGTCACACCGTGGACCGTCCGTACGCCGGCTGGTTCTCTGAATAATGTCCGGCACGGTGTGCGCCGAGACTGCAATGTCGCGTTGCGTCGTGTCGCCGAGCAGATGCAGTCGGTGAAATTGCAGCCGGTGATACTTACAAAGGTGCTGGCCGTATGACGACAATATTTGTTGTTGCAGGTTTACCGAGCGAACACCGGATTTATGAGGAGGATTAACGGGAATTAGCAGGGAAACAACGGTCGCTCTCACAGGGAAGTTTTTAACCGTGGCACGGTCTAATTGCGCCGTTCGGAATTGGAGCGGTTTAGCTCTCGTCCGCACGACGATCGGGTCCACTCGGACCCCGCGGTGGTTTATGGGCCGGCGGTAACGAGGCGAGCTTGCTTAACAGACTGAATGCGGGATTTCACGGAGAGAAATATGCGAAATGAAAAGAATATGATTGCGAATTATTGAACCATTTAACTGCGTTTGAGGAGTATATGCGTCATCTTAAAGCTTGAAATCATATTAATTCTTTCAGCGATAAATTATTTATTTTTTTCACATGAACATGTAATTCTTCTTTGTTTTGCTTTGGTTTTTCATTAAAATATACCCTAGGTGCACTCGTCCCGCGTTTGATGAGTACACACTTCATTTTTTGATTTCATTGCGCGCAGAACGAGAGATTTTTGAAACTAAATTCTATAGTTAACAGGTTAACACTGAAAATACCGAGAGTTTATTGGGGTTGATATGTAATACTTAAGCTGTGGCGATACTTTTGTTTTCTATTTCAGATGTTCGTTATAATATTTACGTGGAACTGTTTATTTTCACAATTATTTTGGATATTGGATACTTTGAAAATATTGATAATTGCGAAATGTGAAAGTTAAAACTCATTATATTGATAGGTATGCTAGCTTTAGGGTTAATTGAGTTGTGTTATTGGAATTGCAGGTTTATATTGCTGAAAGTAACTTTAGATTGTTTTATTTAGAGTAGTGAGGAGTTTTCGAACAAGCATTGTTTAATTGTGCGAACTAGGGTAATTCGCTTGGCTTATTTAAATTGGCCCGATCTTATTTAGATTGTCAAATATCTATATTTTCAATTGTTTTAGTATACTGAATATTACACAGAGGTCTATTTAACTATTCTTCTTATATGTATTGATTTTCATAATAATAATATTTTCATAATAATATTTTCTTTCGTTAAGTGTTAATGATATTTATGACGTAATAGTTCTTTTTAAGAAAAGTGGGCTACCTCTCCTTGACTTACCCTATAGTAATTTGATTTGGTTGCTGATCAGTGAACCTCACAGCACTTAACGTGTTAACATTAACAAATATTTTGAGCCTATATTTTGCTATTCTATTGTTTTTCTACTTACTATTAAGGAATGTACGTTAACTAAACAATTGAACGGTACAAAAATTATAAAATAAAATAATTATCAGCTGAAGTTCCTAATGGATCCACACACAGTAGGACAGAGATTAACTCTTATATTGGTAACGGAGTATCCACTTTAAAACTATCTACTACCCAATTTATTTTACTCTCGTGAAAATTTGACAATATTTTTTGTTTTAATCTCTTAAGTGTAAGCGTTATAAACGAGCAACAACGCGATTTAAAAATCTGATAAGAAAGTTACAGGCTCCATAAAGGAACCTCGAGGTACACTGTAAAAATCGGTGGTAATGTATGCACTCGAACAGAAACAGATAAAATTCACTAACACATTGATTCCGTAAAATACAGTTACGATTTCCGAATGCACACGTTCCGATTGTGCCTTTTTATACTCAGGCTCCGACCATTGATCGCGTTTGTATAAACAATCCAGCCTCCCTCCACCCACCACCTCCTCATCCCCCAAATTTCTGTCCTCCTCTGTTTCGAACTGTATCGGTGAATGGAAGCAGCGAGTGCACCGTACCGTGATTTATTAACAGCCGCGCAATTGTTCCCAAATCGCTTTAATAATTCAGCTGTTGATTAAACGGACCCCGGGTTCATTTTTACGCCTGATTTATTGCGTTACAAACCGTCCCGCGTCGCTTTTGATCGAGCAAATTCTCTCTATTGACAATTAATTCCTGACCGA